AAATCATCCAGCACATGTATCCAACAGCAATGTTCGCAGACTCACGAACAGCATCAACACGAAGTAAAGACACCGCACCACGGGGGACTCGACACGTGATCGGTACCGCCGACACGTCTCCATAGACATCTCAGCATGCTTATCCATCACATTGTCGTCAAGACGACGCGAGTTTCTCATTTTTCGCCCCCTTGCCAGTGTACATCCGCTGTTGCACCCCTACCCGCAGATTTTCAAAGCATTGAAGTTGACCGTTTATTAAGGCTTTACATGGTAGTTCTGACTGTGGCATGCATGTCGCCGCCCGCATACCTAGTGTACATTAAGCGGTCTGCCACTAACAGAGCTTTTATGTAAATAGCAGCTGTGGAGTAAACACAAGTTTTTTCGTCTGTTCGCTATCGTTATCGTTTTCATGTATCTGCCTTTGAGGATGTTCGACTAACAAGATGTTTCTGGACCCCACCTAGAGACGTGATGTGAAGGCTGGACTCATCATTTCAACATTGGTAGTGACCAATGACGCCTGTCTCTGCAAATTTATGACGGCGGCATACACGGGATACAGCGACATTCTGTTTCGACAATGTTTTCTTGACAACATTCAAATCTCCATGTACCACCAGTACCACCATCTGCCTGGCAGGGGAGGACAAACGAACAGTAAAGCCGTGTGAATCCCAACTGTTTAAATCCAGTAGGCAAGGGGAGATGTTCTTCTCCAGCTTTGCTTGCGAGCTTTTGGTGTGACATCTGCTTTGGCCGGAGAGACTGACCACTTTTGCGCGTACACGCCAGCAAGTCAGCACGCCCATCTCTAGACTGCTTCGTGGAGACGTCAGCTGGCAACGGACAGACAGGAGAGCATCATGCAGCATCAAATTTTCATAGGCTGCTGAATCGCTTTCTCTCGTATTTGCATAGATCGTAGGGCTCGTACCCACTCGTGCGTCAAGAACATCGCGCTTAACAAATACTTGGCGCGGGAAATGAAACAAAACGGGAAACAGAACAAGACCAAAACACAATCCATCAGAAAAACAATAAAATGTTCATGCCAAATTCATCACAAAATCACGGTGAGACTCGAAAGCATCCTTCGAAAAACTCTTCGTAAGAAAGTCTGCACGCTGGTACGGAGACGGCACGTGGATCACCGAGATTTCCTTCCTCTCTACCAGTCCCCTGAGAAAATGTGCCTTACATCTATGTGCTTCGAGATAGACTTTGAGATAGATGGGGTTCTGCGCTAGTTGAATCGCCCCCTGGTTGTCCTCGAAGATAGATGCACGGCATGTCGACCTGCGGCAACATGAAACGCCAAATCTGCCTCAACAACAAGATCTCCTTCACTTCGTCACCAAGCGCGACGTACTCTGCTTCTGTCGTCGAAAGCGTAACACACTTCTGCGTTCTGGAAAACCAAGACACAGCACCTGCTCCACACGCGACGATCTCCCCTGATACCGACCTACGGTCTGCTGCCTTGCTTGCAAAGTCCGCATCAGCGTACCCCTGCAAGCTTAATCCCTCTACCGTACCTCTCTGAAACGAAATACCAAAGTGACTCGTCCTCCTCGCATAGCCCAAAATATCCATCGCTGCATTCCAGTGTACCAGCTTCGGAGATGCGCAATACCTAGCTACTGCCCTTACTGCATTCGCAATGTCTGGTCTAGTCTGAGTCGCCAGCCACATCAACGATCCTACCAGCTCACGAAACGGAAACTCTGTCGCCACCTCATCCGCATCAAAATCAGAAAGCTTCACACCCGAAGACATCGGAACGCTCCTACCTCCCACTACTCCATATTCTGCTGCTAGCTCGTCCGTGAAAGTCTGCTGAGAAATCGTCAACCTACCGGTCTCCTTATTCCTCTCGTAAAAGCACCCAGAATACCATCTCAACTCTCCCAGGTTCTTCACTGGCACGGACTTGTTAAGGTC